AAGAGACCTGATGGTTCAATGAGCCACTCTGTCTACAGGAAAGCTACCCATACGGATGCTTATCTGAAACCGGATTCCCACCACCATCCATCACAGAAGAATTCTCTCATCAAGACTCTGTATCATAGAGCCCAATGCATATCCGACCAGGAACACATAAGCAGTGAACTCAAGCACGTACACCAAGCTCTTAGGGCTAATGGTTACTCCGACTATACAATCCGCAAAGCTATCACTCAAACCATGAAGAAGAACCCTCTTGAGGAGCCTTTCAAAACCATCACTTTACCCTACATTGCTGGGATCACAAAAAAGATCTCCAAAATCTTGAATAAACACAAGATCCAGGTCCGTTTCAACACATTACATAAAATCCGTGATCTGGTTCCGTCTGTAAAAGATGTGATTCCGGACATACAATACCCTGGTGTCTACAAACTAAGTTGCCTCTGTGGTAGTAGTTACATTGGAGAAACCAAACGCCATATCTCGGACCGCATTCGTGAACATAAAGCAGACCTTAAACACGGTAGGACCAACACCTCGGCCGTAGCAGATCATTGTTCTAATTCAGTAGGCTCACATGCCATTGACTTTTCCAAGACGGAGGTTCTTTGTAAGCCATCTGGCTTCCATGAGAGATTCGTTCATGAGGCTATCCACATATACAAACACAGAGACAATTTCAACCGAGAAGATGGATTCTATCTTAGCAATCATTGGAAAGATTTGATAAATCATTTCAGTTCTTGATTGATTGTTCACGCTTACAGTGCCTTTCAGACAGCATACATAAAAACAAATTTCGTCTCCCCCCTCCTCTTTTCAAAAAATAGATGGACTAGTCCTGGCAAACTGCCATAGTTGCGCGTGACGCAAACGTTATTTTTTTTTATATAAATATAAATAAATAAATATGCCGTTTTCAAAATAAATTTATGCAAACCGACACACCTGATGATGACCGTTTGAGTTATGGTCGAAACGTCGTGAGAATTTTTTATTGTTTTATATATATTTTGTTATTTTGTTGTTTCTCTTCAACGTGACTTTACCGAAAAAACTAAGAATATGAATTACTGCAGTCACGAAAGTTTTAAATCAAAATTTAAGTAGCATCGTGTTAGAAAGTAGTTTTCAAACTTAGTATTTTCTTTTGGAACATAGAATTTCGAGGCACATCTCAATCATCGTCATCAGCCATGGCCAATCCACTGTTTGACAAAGGCCTCCCCCCCCCCAGCAATTGCCCTCTCTCGATGTAATAATCCACCGTACACATGAGCTGATTTCATCCCTCCATCTCATCGGCAGATGTCATCTCGGGCGCCGTTCCATTCCCTACGTCTTGTATTGCAAAGAATATCGCGTGGATTTAATAAACCAGATAAGCGTGGTGGTAATTTTTTAACTGCATAAAGATTAGCTTAATCCGGTGCGTGGCGCTCTGTATTGACAGTGGAAGGCAGAATTTTGATTTAAAGCTTTCGTGACTGCAGGGATTCATATTCTTGGTTCTTTCAGTAAAGTCAGGTATTATTTTATTGTTTCCCTTCTACGTGACTTTACTGAAAGAACTAAGAAGTGGGAGGCAGCTCACCTTGTTATTCAGTTCACAACGTTCTCTGCTCGTAAGTGAGGCACTTTGGGTAGGGGAACACGGGAGATGAAGCATGCCTACCTGAAAAAAAACCTGACCTGCACACTCTTTCGAGGCACTGCAGGAATTGCTCATGTAAAAAGTAAATAAAGCTGTGGACGGTTCAATCTTGATTTGAAGTTTTCGTGACTGCAGGAATCCATACTTTTTGGTTCTTTCGGTAAAGTCACGTAGTTAGAAAAAAATCAATTATAAATCACGACGTTTCGATTACAACACAAGCAATCGTCATTATTTCTGCAAGTTCAGCAGTTCTGCTGCTGTGGACGTCTGTAATAATCTACAAGAAACAGTTTTTTTGTTACTAAACTATTAAACATTTTTTTTATTTGACCACCGAAGGCCCACTGAGCTATATAGTTATTTTTCAGAAGCAACCTGGCCAAAAATTATAGCTCATTTAAGTGGCTTATCGTATGGACATTTATAGCAGCCAAATACTCTAAATACATGTTTCTCAATGTGGAGGGAAAAACTGGAGGACCCGGAGAAAAATCCATGCTTCCACAGGGAGAATATGCAAACTCCAAATATACAGGCGTCTGGGTCGGGATCGAACCCTCCCACCTCCTGTATACCAGGCGAGGTAGTTAGCATCTCTAATTCATAAACTATGTCGCAATAATAATAATAGGCAAGCAGGAAGAAGCAACACGTTGGCAGTGGGTGGTTAACGAGAAACGTCATTTCCATAGAAGAGCACAACAACCTTGGTGCTTTATTTATGAGGTTGTGTACGGTGTCCATGTGTGATAAATTTAAATGAGAATCAACACCCTGGTATTCATTGAATTTGACATCTTTAATAGCATAGCCTCGTAACGTGTTTAATGGTATTGCAAGGGGCTTCCGTTTCAAAAGAAACATTTTGGGTTCATGAATACATACAACATATATAATCATGCAGGCAAAAAGTCTTTGTCACATAGGATGCTGCCAAATATCGCTTATAAAAGCCATTTGCACTTTGGTTTGAACACCATGGACAGAAGACGTGGTGGTGTGTCGGTTTTTTTCAGGTCTTTCAGCATTAATTATTCTTCCATGAACACACTTTCTTTTAAAAATCAAATTCATGGTATGCAATTAAATGAACGGCGAACCAAGCACGGTAATGAGAAACGAAGAACGCCCCATAGGAATTGGGCAGAAATCTGATTAATTGACTCCCAGATTCAAAATGTAGAAAATTGTGTTTCATCCCTCGAATGAGAACCGACTCGTCGTTTTACTGCTAAAGCCACACGTTGACTACATCGTAGAGGTTTGAATATGATTTTTAACTGTGTCAACAGCTTGCTAAATCGACAGTTGAGAATATTTTTTTTCCAAATAGCCGTGAATATGGATACAGTATTTGGAGGAAATTATGTCCAAATAGCCATGAATATTTATCACCCGGAACTATCAAATAAGGAGACAGCTGCTGCCATAGTGCCACATCTAAAACCTGATCGCTTTGCGTGTACAACTTCCAGCTCATTTTATTATTGAAAAGAACCAAGAGACTGGTTGCATGTTTTACCAGTTCCTCCCCCCCCCCCCCAAAAACAAATATTTAGCTCCGCGTTCGTGGGTGTGTTTGTGGAAAATGTGTGCGTCTTTGTCCTGGCTGAGTGTGTGTGCGCGTGTCTTTCTATCCACTTGTCCCGACGTTCGTCTGTATATGTAACATGGGGAGCTTATGTGAATTCGCACGTGTGCTTATGCTTGTATGCGAGGGCGCAAGTGTACGTGTACATGTGTTGCGTGCGTGCGCATGTGCACGTGTGTGTAGATTTTTTTGCGTGTGTTTGAGGGTACGCAAGTGCACGTGTTTCTGTGTGTGTGTGCATATCTACACGTGTCTCTGTGCACACACATGTGTGTGTGTGTCTGTGCGTGCTGGAGCGGGTAGCGATGGCGCAGTGATTAGCACACTACATTGCATTATGACAAGTTCAATTCCTGGCCACAGCTTGACATCAGTGGTGGTTGATATTCGACTCACCGCTGGTCATTTCTTAGGTCAACTCAGCCTTGTTTTTTTTTGCAATGCGTAAATGTCAGCGCTGGGAAGACAAAGGCAGCCGAGTGTGGCTCAATGACAATGCTTACCCTAAGTATGCATGGCTATGCGGGGAATCTTTGTGTGGTTTTTTTGGTGTCTGTGCATGTTTCAGTGATCCTTGCATCAGCTGAGTGGCATGAGCGGGAAGCGTGCGTGGTATTGCAAAATATGTAAAGTGTGAGTGTATACGAAACATTGTCCATCTATATGCATATTAGGGTGACCTGATTTTTTAAAACAGTGGTATTATTACATTATTTTTATATCAGAAAATCTCTGAGTTTAATGCAGAACCACTCTTATTAAATCAGAACATCTGGCCATCCAATAACACATGTTCCTGTGTGTCTTTGTGTGTGTGTGTTTGTATGCTCCTTGGGTGTGTTTGTATGTGTATTACTTGTGTGTTTGAATCTGTATGTTTTTGTGTGCGTGTGTGTACTATGTGTGTATATGTATGATTGTGTCTCCAATTGCCTCTCTGTTTCCATGTGTGTGTGTACGTCTGTCTGCATGCTTGTGTATGCGCATGTCCACTTCTCTGCACGTTTATCACTGTGTCTGTGTATATATGTATGTGTGCATTTATGTTTGTGCCCGTGTGTGTCTGTGCATATGGTTTGTGTGCATGTTTCTTTGTGTATCTCTGTACATCTGTGTGTGTGTTTCTCTGCATGTGCGTCTATGCCTGCGTGTCTCTCTCTCTGTGCACCGGTGTCTCTGTACATCTGTGTTTGTGTCTGTGTGTGTCTCTGCCTGCGTGTCTCTCTCTGTGCGCCTGTGTCTCTGTACATCTGTGTTTGTGTCTGTGTGTCTCTCTGCCTGCGTGTCTCTCTCTGTGCGCCTGTGTCTCTGTACATCTGTGTTTGTGTCTGTGTGTGTCTCTGCCTACGTGTCTCTCTCTGTGCGCCTGTGTCTCTGTACATCTGTGTTTGTGTCTGTGTGTGTCTCTGCCTGCGTGTCTCTCTCTGTGCGCCTGTGTCTCTGTACATCTGTGTTTGTGTCTGTGTGTGTCTCTGCCTGCGTGTCTCTCTCTGTGCGCCTGTGTCTCTGTACATCTGTGTTTGTGTCTGTGTGTGTCTCTGCATATGCATCTCTTCCTGCGTGTCTCTGTCTGTGCTCCTGCGTGTCTCTGTGCACTTGTACGTTCGCACGCGTGGTGCTGCACGTGTCCCTCTCTGCGCGTCTCCGCGTCTCCGCACATTCGTCGCCTCCACTCGTCCACCCCTTTGCTCGCCCAACCGACCCGCCCGCCCGCCCGCCCGCACGCGGGCGCCCGTCAACCCCCAGCTGAGCGAGGTGGAGGTGAACGGGCAGTTTGAGACGGTGTGCGAGTCGGTGTTCAGCGAGGTGGAGGCGCAGGCAGTGGAGGCGCTCGACCTGCCCGGCTGCTTCCGCACGCGCTCGCACAGCTACCTGCGCGCCATCCAGGCGGGGTACGTGCGCGACGAGGACGACGACGCCGCCTCCTCGATGCAGTCCACCTCGCCGCCGCCGCCGCCGCTGCCGCCCCCCGCCACCGCCACGATCAGCACCATCAAGACCGGTGGGGGTTCCGGCGTGCGCTCCCCCCACCCCTCCCCGCTCTGCTCAGACACCGACGGCGTCCTCCATTTATGATGCTTCTTCCCGGCTCAGGATTGCCGGGGAGAATTTTGAGCGATGATGATGATGATGATAATGACATTCGTATCTTCAGCGCCGTGTCTCAAAGACGATGTCGCGAGGCTGTGGCAATGCTCGAGTGGAGAGGCGCCGCTGACTTTTGCTTTGTTCCCCCTCCACCCCAACCCCCGAAGGCTACGCGACAACAACAACAACAACGATGGTTTAATAAGAAAAATGTCTTTGGAACCGTTTCGTGAGATGGGATGGGGTCGAAGATCAAGTGACAGAGCAGTCCAGATCGATGGAGAGGGGACTCCAAATGCTCTGCCGGACACTTTATTTGGGAGGAGGGCGGGCGGGGGGGGGGGGAGGTATGGGGTAGGGAGTGTCCAGCAAACTGGAAAAATATCTCTGCACCTGGCACACCAGGCCCAGTAAACCTCTCCCTATTGCCGTGGATACTCTAGTGACCCAGAATTTATTCGGTGAGAAATCGAGCGCCACGTGCCACCATTCTCCCCGTAGCCACGGCCGCACGCAACGCGATGCACGTATGGCAGGCGGGATAAGAGTCCGTCCGTTTTAATCGGTGGATCGCGATGCGCGTCGTTATGATCGCCCCACGCTGAACGATGGCACTGCTCCGTCCGTTTCTAAAAGCCATGCGAGGATTCTGCATTGGGGCTTCCACTTGGTTCGTTTGAAGCCGCAGAAGAAAGAGCAAGGGAGGAGGGCTCGCGTTGCAGCAGAGAGAGACAATGATCGCCACGCATTAATTTTATTTAGAGAGGCATATCGGACGTTGTGTTTTTTATTTAGAGAGGCATATCGCCTTATTTAGAGAGGCATATCGCCATTGTTTTTAAAGACATTGTACTCACCGCAGAGAACTGTAGCGACATGACCGCATTTTACGCTAGCCGGCGCCAAACTGTGACACAACATCCTCCCGCATGGCTTCTTGGGAACCTCAGTACCCATGAAGTTATTTCGTTTTTGTTCCGGTCACGATCTGGGTTAAATGTGGCAGTGGCGAGTGGGTTGTTGTTGTTTTTCGGTTTGGAGCGGTGGACCAGTGGCTCGGCGGAGCGTGGCAGAGCGGAGCAGCGTGGAACAGCTGCCAAAAATACACTGCCGCCTCCCACAGCCAGTTTGAAGCATGCATCATCAAACACGTGCACACACGTGTGTGTGTGTGTGCACACCGCACCAGGTACTCATGAAAGCCTGAGTCGACCTCGGGGAGGCCCAGGACCAGTTGAGATATTCGTCACCGATGTTGGAAATGAACCCGGGTCGCCGGATTCGTAGCGCACTACCCAAAGCAGATTATAAAGCATGTGTTTTGAATGGTTGTTTGAAGGCCTACAATTTTGGTTGTGCAATCATATGATACGAATATAAAGACAGTTGTGGTAGTGGTTATGCTGGTGATGATCATGATTAAGGTGGTGGTGTTATTGATGATGGAAGTGATTGTGTTGATTATGATGACAATGGTGGTGGTGATGGTTTTGATTCTGATCTAATTGGTTGTGACGACGGTGGTGTTGGAGGTGATTGTGGTGGTGGTGGTGATGATGATGGCGATCATAATAGAGGTGGTTGTGATGATCATGGTGGTCGAGGTTTGTCATGAAGATGATGATGACGATAGTTGTTGTCATAATGGTGATAGAATTGATAATAATTATAATGATGATGATGATGACCATGATTGCGATCAATGACAGCGTCCCTGCCTGCTCACCGCCCTCCGCAGTCACCATCACCACGTACAAGAAGACCCCGCCGCCCGTGCCTCCTCGCACCACCTCGAAGCCGTTCATCTCCGTCACGGCGCAGAGCAGCACCGAGTCAGCACAGGACGCGTACATGGAGAGCAGACCGCACGCCCACCACCACCATCACCACCACCACCACCACCACCAACCGCACCACCACCACCACCATCAGCAACAACAGCAGCAGCAGCAGCAGCACCAACACCATCAGCAGCAACAACAGCAGCACCATCACCACCACGCTGTGCACGGTCAGCACCAACAAGGACAGCCGCTGCCCCAGACTCAGACGCCGACGCAGAGCCAGCCGCAGTCTCAGACGCAGGCCCAGACGCAGACGCAGCCTCAGCAGCTGCACCGGGCCGGCGATCTGAGCTCCCAGACCACCAACTCGTCCTTCAACCAGGACACGGAGGGGCTGAGCAACTCCTCGGAGAGCCTCGACAGCGCCAAGGCCCTCACGGCCGCCATGGACGCGGCGGCCGCTCAGATACACGGGCCCGGGCCCCTGGTGGAGCAGAGCCCCACGGTGGAGGAGGAAGACGAGGACGAAGAAGAAGAGGAGGAAGAGGAGGAGGCGGAGGAAGAAGAGGACGAGTCTGAGTCAGAGGAGGAAGAGGAAGAGGAAATAGAGGTCAAGAGGAAGGAAGAGGAGGAAGAGGATGATGATGATGATGATGACGAGGATGAGGATGACGAGGAGGAGCAGGAGGAGAGGGAGAGGGTTGCACAGACAGAGAGAGAGCGGAAACGGGAGCGGGAGAAGGAGGAAGAGAGGGAGAGGGAACGAGAGCGAGAGAGGGAACGGGAGCACGAGAGGGAGCAGGAGAGGGAGAAGGAGAGCAAGGAGATGGAGGATGAATGCAGGTGGCCCTTGCAGCGCCCGGCGCAGCGTCGGCAACAGAGCCCCACGGCGGAGCGAGGCGCCATGGCGGAGCGAGGCCCCACCACGGCGGAGCGAGGCCCCACCACGGCGGAGCGAGGCGCCGCGTCGGAGCTGCCGGTGGAGAGGGCAGCGCTAGCGCTGGCGGACGTGTCTGTTGCGGAGGTCGACGAGCGGCGCTCATCCATCGGCATTCAGGTGAGAGACGGCCGCCCACGCCGGTAGCGGCCACAACGCGGCCTCCACTCCGGCCTCGCTTCCGTGGCGTGGACGTTGGGGACAAATGCAAGGCAGTCGGGCCGAGCGGCCCCGCAAGCGCTACGATCGGGGCACCTGTTTCACATGCAGAAAGGCGGATGTTCAAATTTCAGTTTGGACACGACTCAGCGCGCCACATATCTCTGGGGGTTGGTAAAGTGTGGAAATTTGAAAACTGTCCCCCCGTCATAAAAATGTGGGATTTCCACCGTTTGCTACTGGCCTGTAATAATTCGCCCCCGCCTCGTGATTCAAGCGATCGTCACAGTTCGGCATCACTTTGATTCACAAGAATACTTTTCTTGTTGTTGCTGTCAACATTGCAGTCAATGTAGCACATTTAGTGGCTGCAGCGGTCACGCGAACCCATGAACGTGCAACTTGTAGCAATTTTAATGTGCTATCGCGGCCATGTTTGGATGCATGATGAACCCGTACATCGTTCCGTGCCTGTTATATGTGTGTATGTTGAACTCCAACCGTGTTAATCGAAGGTGCAGTGCCGGATGTTTTCCTGGACGACGTGGTGATTGTGGCTTAAGGTTTGTGTTGCGTTCGTGGTTGCCTGCCGATGAGTGACACCAATTTGTTAGGCTGTTGACTTTATTGTTGTGCCTCAGGTGGACAGCCCGGCAAAGTCCTCCGACTCATCGGTCGAGGTGAAGAAGGTCAGCCGCTTCCAATCCATCGGCATCCAGGTGGAGGATGAGAAGAGGTGAACATTCTGGCTCGGGGCGTATAGGAACCTGACTCTCGTGAAACGATTTGAATTCATGAATCGTCCTAACGCGACCACGTCTCAAAGAGATGTACCGCTTGAAGGCGACGTGCACATCGAGATGATTTGAAGGGGTTTTTAAAATATAATAATATTATTATCATAATGTCCTTTGTTTATCCAAGAAATACTCACTGGGTCCAAAGACACCTTTTCAGAAGGATCCTGTAATTGGGATGTTTGGCCAATTCCACATGGACGGGTTCACGATCCCACTTGGCATAACAGCCAAACTAAAACGATGTATTGCAGAGGCTTAGGAGTCGTGAGAACATTCTCCCAAAGCGTTAGGTCGGCATTGCTGCCTTGAAAATAAACGTTGGTGAGATGTTAACTACCTCGCCTAATGAACAGGAGGTCGTGGGTTCGATCCTGACCCTGACGTCTGTGTATTTGGAGTTTGCGTGTCTCTCTCTCTCCGTGATCGCGTGGAATTTTCTTTGGGTCCTTCTGTTTTTCCCTCCACATTTAGAATCAACATCGCGCGTTTAGAGTATTTGGCTGCTATACATTTCCACGTGATAAGCCACTTCGTTGAGCTATCATTTGTGGTCAGGTCCCTTCTGAAAAAGAGCTGTGTAGCCCAGGGGGCCTTCTAACCCGGTCAAATAAAATTAAACAACCGCACCGTGTTCACGTGCAACATTTACTTCCACCTCCTGGCCACCTCGCAAGCTGAGCCTGCATCCCCTCTCCGCCCCCAGGTCCCACCACCGCTTCGCGCGCTCCAACAGCATCTCGGCGAGCGTGCAGGCGAACCTGTACGAGGGTGACACGCCGGCGCCGGCCCCCGGCGGCCTGGACCGCGTCCACTCTTGCCGCGGCCTCAAGCCGCCTCCCCCTCCCCCTCCACCACGCCGCAGCTCCGACTCCGACGCCCTCGCTGCCTCCGCCTCTGCCTCGGCTTCTGCCGCCGCCGCCGCCGCCGCGGCCGCGGCCGCCGAAGCCGCGGTGGCGGCGGCGGCCGCCGTCGCCATGCACCCGCACGTGATGCGCGGCTACGCCACCGCCGGCACCACGACCCACGACTCGCCTGGGCCGCCTCCCCCGAGCCTGGCGCCCGTCGGGCCTGAACCGGCACGGCCGAACCACCACCACCACTACCACGGCGGCAGCCCCCGCTTCGCGCAGATCCAGCGGCAGGCGGAGGTGGAACTGGACGACAGCCTGGCAGACTTCGACCCGGCGGGGCTGCCCCCCCCCGAGCCGTGGATGCCCAACGACGCGATGGGGCCATCGCCCGTGCCGCTGCCCTTCCCGCTGCCACCGCCGCCACCGCCTCCGCCGCCGCCGCCGCCGCCGCCACCGCCGCCGCCGCCGCCGCCACCGGTGCCGCCCCCCCCGCATCATCTGTCCCGGCACGACGGGCCGTGGTTTGCACGGTTGCTGCGCGCGGAGAGGGAGCGCATGGAGGGGTGGTGCCACCAGATGGAGCGAGAAGCCCGTGAGAATGAGCTCCCGCAGGAAGGTGGGTAGAGCGCTCGTGCTGCTGCTGCTGCTGCTGCTGGTGCTCGTGATGTTTTTGCCCACAAGAATGCCACCCGTTCATCCCCGCGACATTTTTTTACACCACATATTTGGGGCTCCACATGACGGGCATGGGACATGCGACCATTTTATTCGTGCCCGGGTCAGCCGTTCAGTGCGTCTGTCGAACTTTCCCTTGGACTGTGTTTTGTTCTGTTAGACTTTTCCATCTCTCCCCCCCCGCCTCTCTCTCTCTCTCCAAGCTGTTTTGGAGGTGTAATTCTTGAATGAATATATCTTCTACCCTTAAGTCTTGCTCTGCTAGTGAGTAATCAGGGATTGTGGGTATGGTAAATCGGGTGGCAGGGATGGGCACTCAGAGCCCGCCTCAATAAGCCTACTCTGCTCACGCCGGTGGTCCTGTGGGGATCGCTAAATGAAGTCAATGAGAAGACTTCTGTGGATGGAAGCATTTGCTCATACAAAACAGTTTTTTTACCGAGATACGATACCAACTATTCTGGTGGTGGTGGAAGGTGGCAGTCGTGGTTCTGGTGGCGGAGGTGGGGAGCAGTGGCACAATGGTTAGCCCGCCGAATTACGAACTCGACGACCCGAGTTCGATTTCCGCTCCACAGCCAACGCCAGTGACGATTATCTGAACCGGTCCTGGGCCTCCCCTAGGTCGACTCGGCCTCAAATTAGTATCTGGTGCGGTGTGTAAAAACATCGCCACCCATCCCCTCGTGTGCCATATCCGGGCTTCATACGTGCTTACTTACAGCACTTGCCCCAACAGTCTGTTAAGGCTATACGGGGGATCTGTCTTTTATTTAGTAGTGATGATGGGAGTGGTGTTGATTGTTCTTTTCAGAAGTGGTATTGGTGGTCAGTGTGCCTTCAGCAGTGGTGGCGATGTATTATGATTCTGGTGGTGTGAATGTTTGTTGAACTTCATTCGCACCGTACATAGCCAACCGTGCTAATTTGAGGTGCAGAGAATCGACAACAAACTAAACACAAGAAGAAGTTGTAAAGACATGAGTTTAGGAGTGGTGCTGTCTGTCTGTGGTGGTTGGTGGTTGGTGGTGGTGTTGGTAGTGCTGTGGTGGTGGCAGTGATTGGGGCGGTGCTGTAGTTATGATGGTGGCAGTGGTTGTGGTGGTGCTGTGGTCGTGGTGGTGCTGTGGTTGTGGTGGTGGCAGTGGTTGTGGTGGTGCTGTGGTTGTGGTGGTGCTGTGGTTGTGGTGGTGCTGTGGTGGTGCTGTGGTTGTGGTGGTGGCAGTGGTTGTGGTGGTGCTGTGGTTGTGGTGGTGCTGTGGTTGTGGTGCTGCTGTGGTTGTGGTGGTGGCAGTGGTTGTGGTGGTGCTGTGGTTGTGGTGGTGCTGTGGTTGCGGTGGCAGTGGTTGTGGTGGTGCTGTGGTTGTGGTGGTGCTGCCTGTACTTGTGTTGCACGGTGGCGGCAGTCGTCATTATTCCACTTTAGCAACAAAGAGCACTTGTGTCGCTTTCAATGAAAGTGAAATGAGCGGCACAGAAACACTTTGACGTGATTGCACATGAACACGATGACGAGGCTTCAATAGTGGGGACTCATTCATTATTCCTCTATTGAAGCAAAACATGGAATTATCATTGCCACGCTATTGTTTACCTGGCTGGATGCTGGACTCGCAAATCAGGCATTGAGCCAGCCCATGGCCTTTCAGGAGTTAATAAAGTCACTCACTTTGTCGGGAAGTCAACAACAGACCTCCTGCTGCTGCGAGTGACGTGTTGGTGTGTGTGAGTAGGCTGTATCCAGCCGTGGATAGATCACGGCTGAGGATGACGATGCTGGCCCACCCATACTGGACATGTGTGAAACAGAGCTGCACGCTGATCAGATTCCTCCAGTCTAACTAAAGATTCTGACGACACTGTTGGAGGGACGCGGCCGTTGTTTTAACTCCGGCTCCTTGTCCCTTCGGCAGTGCTCGGCAAGATCGCCAACGCGGTGGACAGCGCCCACGAGCTCATGACGGAGAAGTTCCAGCAGTTCCACGAGCTGTGCTACCAATGCACGGTGAGCCGCTGCCGCTACATTGCACACACAGTCCCCACGTCGACTGGACAGATCGTCGTCTCTCCCTGCACCAGCAGGGACGGGGGAGTCCACAGCACGTGGGCGGCACAACGACCCCGTGACTCCTGTTTCACTCGGCCTACCGTTTCGAAAATGGCCGGCAAATTCTCGCTGTGTGTCACTGTTTTTAGCCGCACGAATCGGGTACCAGAGTTGAGAATTGTGTCGACCCGACAACACGACGTTTCAATGTACGTCCCGTTCAGTCACTTCTTCTTCATCGCTTAAAATGGATTCTTGCACTCGCGATACATGCGTAGAGTGCCGCTCGCGAGGAGAGATGATGTTTGTACGCAGATCGTTTTCAAATCGCGTGACAATTGTCACGTTTAGCCTAATGGAGTGGAACAAAAAAATCGTAGAAATGAGACGTGAGCAATTGAAAAAAGAGAAGCGACGCAAATCAATACGGTCAAATTAAGACAAGAAAGAATCTCTTCAAACACCAAACACTGATTGGCCAACACCAGTTTCAAAGACAATGCCATATGTTATCGGAGCATGTTTGTTTGCATGTTCACCACAAAGTACGTGTGGTTAATGTGGACTTGATTCCTTGCAAAAGGTAACTATTTGGTCTTTGAACATCTTAACACCTGTTTAATAGCCATGAAGGGTAAAACATATTCTTATTTTTCATACTTTGATACTGGAAAAAAAGGTCCCATGATAAGAAATCAACAATGTTTCCTCAAATCGCGTCCCAACCCAGATTCCGTGATGATAATCACGGAGTCTCTACGGCCAATGGTGGCGGCGCTGGTGGTGGTGGTGATGGGGGAGAGGGAAATCTTATACGCCCACTGGTTTCACAGCTGCACGTTCATCCGTCGGCATTTGCTCGTTACGCAGTCGGCGTTATTCCTTGATTCCGCTTTGCCGCAGTTTATTTGCGTTGCGGTCGAGGGCTTTCGCAGGCGGACCTTTCGCTCGCCGGTGCCTCGGGAGGAGGATTGCGGGACTCAAAACCCCTTGGGCAAATCAATTTTTTTCATCTTCATTGCGGCTAATTGCGCATCAAACGGCGGAGACAAAATGAGGGCCAAACGCAATTGGGACGCGGGGTCCCGACCGCGACGGTCGCGGTGAGGATGTTTCCGCTCGTCTTGGTGCAGGATTAGCATAAACTGAGACGCCGCCTCAGTGTAGCCATAAATCACTGGCACACTCTCGTTTGCCGCTCGGGATGCCAGGGTGCGGAGTGGGGGGGGAGAACGGGGACCGTGAATGGGTTAACAAAAGCTGCCGTCAGGAATAAGATGAATTAAGTGAGCTGGCCGCTGCTGCGGATTGCTCTTTCACGCAACCGAAGCCTGAAAAGTTTGAGGAATCTCTCCCTTTATATCATCAGTGGGGATGGAATTGCAGCTGACTTCACGGTTTTGTTTTAGTGGTCAGTGATAGAGGTTAGGGTTGGAGGCTATAGTGACTTCAGATTGGCCAATCACTGGTATTTTTGTTCTTTAACAAACAAAAATATGTTTTTTTATCAAATGTTTTCCTGTTTGTACTATCATTGTTACGTCGCGAAATGAACAATCAGTTAGGCTCTCTCGCAGAGCACTGCAACCCTTCGTTTAAAAGAATGGCCCATAGAAGCGGATATCACAAAGCTCCTTCTAAGTTCCCTTCAAAAATCCACGCGACCACGGGGGAGAGAGAGAGAAAACATGCAAACTCCAAATATACAACAGTGGTCAGGGCGCCACGGTGGCGAGATGTTAACTACCTCGCATGGCATGCAGGGGGTTGTGGGTTCAATCCCGACCCTGACGCCTATAAATTTGGAGTTTGCGTGTTCTCCCCGTGGTCGTTGAGCTATCATTTGTGGTCAGGTCGCTTCTGAAAAAGAGCCATGTAGCTCAGTGGTCCTTACCTGGTAAAATAAAAATAATAATACAAATATATGTAATTTGTTTTTTTATAAATAGGTCAGGATCGAACCCACCACCTCCTGTATACCAGGCAAGGTAGTTAACATCTCACCACCCTGGCGCCCCCTATCTTTGGCAAGAAGGAGGTTTCCCCACCGCTGTGTTTATCTAATCGCATCAACTGCCCTCCCTCTGGGGGCCTCCCACTTCGTGTCCCCGGCTGCCCCCAGGACCCTGGCGCGGACGCATGGGCAACGTCGCAGGAGATGGCACGCTTCTGGGAAACGCTGCAGCTCTCCATCGAGGAGATCAGCCTCAAGTTCGACGAGCTGCTGCAGCTCCGAGCGAACGACTGGAAAGCGGCCGAGAACGGCGACCGCAAGGCGAGTGCCGGTGCCGCCGTTGGCCGTCGCCACTGGTCGTGGGGACGGTAGTTGAGGGGGGGGGGGGCGGTTGGGTTCGTGCAATTATCCGCAGGGTTGAATTTGTGCTATTTGTTTGTCTTTGTCCACGATTTGATTACAGTTGCGTTGTCGGCATCCAACCTATAAACAAATCACCTGCAGTGCGCCTGGTCTCGTATCGGAGGCGCCTCGATAGGGCTTGGATGGGTGACCACCTCCGATTAGCTAGGATTGACTACGCACAGTGTGAAAAAAAAGTTCAACATACATACAAAGTGGTGTCCTAGGCTGCTGCTGTGAGGCTACAGTGTGGGCAGGGGGCACTGCAGCAGAATCCATTGCTGTGGTCTTCTCGGTGCTCTGGCGTCTTTGCTCCTCATCTTCACCAATGTCGTAAAATAACCCCTACGTGGCGTGGAAAGGCACTCGTTCAGCAGTGGCTTGAGAGAAGGGCTGGAAATGCACATCGGCATCATGTCCTGAGAACTCTCACAGGAGTCGATGCGTCACCGCATGTCTCAGAAAGCGTCCCACAGAGGGAGATATCGTAGAACTGCTTCTGAGATCACTTTGAATCTACACACTCGGCGGTGCACTTACCACGTGCCTGGAATAGAGAATTATTTTTTTTCCAAGGTGGTCAAATTGATATATTTTTCATTCCCAGAGGTAAAATGTTTCCATGTTGTGTGAAAACCCCAATTTATTTTGATGGGTTTGCTTCTACCGTCTTCAGTGAGCAGGCTTAGACCATCAACTTGGTACACTTGAGAACCTTGCATCATCACATTTCAATCTGTGTAAGACTTTGGGTCTTTATTCTAGTGGTTATGTCTCTGTGAGTCTGTGTGTCTCTGTATAACTCAATGAGTCTCTATATTAGCTATTGTTGACCAAGCTGAGACCGCAAAAATCGCTACACTTGAGACCCTATTTTAATCACAGGCAGGTGAATCCCATATTCGAATCCATTGTCCTCGTATTTCACCTTGGGTTTTGTTGAAAGTTGTACGTATGTGTACATTTTCTGCAGGTAGTATATGTTGACCATTTCCAAGTCCAGATCAGGAATCGACTCAGTCCGTCAGTCTTCCAAGGCTGATAAAATAATTACCAATCTTGTAAAAGACAACAGTGATTGTCCTATCATTAAATTGTAACAGGAATATAATCGTAAACATAAAATAAGCACCACTGCACCCAGTTCATTTGATCAATATAGCTGCTATATGTAATTATAACGATCCATGGGCAGATAGCCCGTAGGTGTCCACTGCACATTTCATCATATATTTCCACTTTCCTCTGTCTTGTGCCAATATGCTCAAGTAGTGTCACATCTTTCTTTGGCCAAGCTCTTATGCCATCAAGCCTTCTCTGTTAGGTCTTTATCTTTTTCCGGCTCATTCCATTTTTCCCGAACAACGCACTTTTAATTTTCCTGTTGTTTTGATTTAAAGCTTTCGTGACTGCAGTAATTCATATTCTTAGGTCTTTCGGTAAAGTCACGTTGAAGGGAAACAAAATATATATTTTATTACAATAAAATAATAAAATATATTTTTATTAGAATAAAAAATACTAATAAAAAATAAAATAATACCGATAAAATAATAAAACATTAATAATAAACTATATATTTTGTTATTTTATACGTGACTTTACCGAAAGAGCTAAGAATATGAATTGTCCTGTTGTTGCCTATCACACACGTGTGTCCGAATAGTGCCAGTGTCCTGCTCATCACTGCCAATATTTATTCTGTATATTTATCCATTATATATCCTATCTTTTATTCTGTTTATTTCTCCTCTGCTGTTCAGCGAGAGCAGGACGACAGGAGGGTGGCCCCAACTGCCCAGGCAGACAAGAGGGCGCCGTCTCCCTTGGAAGAGTCCAAGTCGTCCCGGAGCTCCTCGCCGCCGCTGCCGCCCCTGCACATGCTACCGCCGCCGCTGATGGCAGAGGAGCGGCGCGCCGCTTTCTTCCGCGAGGATCGGAAGGTGCCGCCTCCGGTGCCCAAGAAACCACCCAAGGGCTCGTTGCCTTCCTTCCCCTGCCGGCAGCGATCTGTGGACTTCGACAGTCGGCCGCGGGGCTGGCTGGAGGGCGCCGAGGGCCCGCTGGGCGCCGGGGGCGTGGCGGCGGCGGCGGACCGTGCCGCACGCATGGAGAAGGCCAGCAGCGTGGAGGCTTCGTTCATGCCTGAGGCCCAGACGCGGCTTTAGACCAGAGTGTGGGCTCATGCCAGTCTGTAGACTGGCGTGTGGCCCTAGTTCGGACTGTTGCTGGGGGCTGGCTTTAGGCCGGAGTGTGGGCACAGGGTAGTTTATAGGCTGGAGTATGAGCTCATGCCAGGCCTATCGCCTGGGTCCAGTTCAGGCGATAGGCCAAAGTGTGGGCCCAGACTCAGTTGTAGGCTGTGGTGTGGCCTCAGGCTAAGCCGTTGGCTTCAGTGGAGTAAATGGGCTCTGGCAGACAGTCATGGGCGACGGCTTTCTGGGACACTACTATGGGATGTGGAGTTGACATTTGAGTTCTGTTCTTTTCGGTTTTCCTTTTCTGTACTTGGGCTATAACTAAAATGGTTGTTCAAAATCACGATGCTTCTCTCCATTATCTTCACCCATTGTACTTATCTACTTGTAAGCGTGTCTGTTTGGTTGTTGTTGTTCTTCTCAGTTTTTATTTGTGCCAAACTTTCCTGCTGCCGAACAGAGGTCATCTCCTAGCACCGATGTTGTAGGTTAGGAAGCAGAAAAATCTGCCGCACAAAAAATTTACACCGAACAAAAAACGTCCCTAAAACAACGCTCCTTTAAACCAAACCGCGTTGCTGAGCAGTGTTGGCGAAATCTCGTTTTCTAGGCCTTTTTTGGTGCCAACGGGAAGCAGGGCTTGGCGAACAGTGGCTCCAATCCTACGCCTCGTGCCACATTTATTCATAACCACATGGCCATACCCGGCGCTGAAGCTGGGCCACGGGCAAGCGTCCGTTTGCGAACAGTACAGGGTATTCATGAACCTCCGCTATCGAGGGGACAATCTTGCGCAGAACTTGCGACCCATCGCTCTGCCGCCGCTTGTGCCCACGCACACTCTGGGCCCAAAGTGTTTTGTGAAGACCTTTTCGTCCCTGGAGTAACCATCTTTGCATTTTTCGTACGGTAGTTATCAACCCCCTCCCACTAATAGCCATGAGAAAAACAGAATGAAAAGCCCTGTACCATATCATGCACGCATTCTTTCAGGCCATATTGCATTTCAATTCACATTAATGGCAAGAGGACCTCGTCGCTTCACTACAGGAGAATATAACGTGAAAGTTCCGCAAAGTCACACAAAACGCCAGAGCACAAATGTAAATGCAGACATTCTGAGCAATTCGGTGGGGGGGGGGGGGGCACCCACCAAGGCCCACTACCCAACCACCCCCCACACCCCACCTTCAAGGCTTACAACTCCAAAGGACGTGGGAATAGAGCGAGTTTGTTTTGACCCAATGTGTTTTTTAGGAGGTTCCCTCCATCCACAAGTAGAAGACAACCCGTCGGGAGGGTGAGCGATGCGGTGGGGGGGGGGGGGGGTTGTATAAGTCGGGACCCCGCAATTCGCCAGGCTCGCCCTCCGCACGCCTATCGTGCACTTGCCACCACCGTGTGCGGTTTCACGGCCGGTCGGTGCTGGTGGTGGCGACACGGAGTGCTGGGCAGGCCACCAACCCCCCACGCCGGGGGTAGCTCCGATATTTAAACACTCTGAGAGTGTGCGCCCACTTGGGGCACGCTCTGCGGCGGTGCGGCAGTGCGTGTCCCAAGTGGGCGCCGTGGCGGCGAGATGTTAACTACCTCGCCTGGTATACAGGAGGTCATGGACTCGATCCCGACGCTGACGCCTGTTGTGTATTTGGAGTTTGCATGTTCTCTCTCCCCCCTTGGTCACGTGGGTTTTTCTCCGGGTCCTCCGTTTTTTTTTCCCTCTGCATTTAGAAACATGCGTTTCGAGCGTTTGGCTGCTATAAATTTCCACATGATCAGTCAAATCACTTCTGAAAAAAGCTATGTAGCTCAGCGGGCCTTACCTGGTAATATAAAAAAAAGTTTAAATAAAAAAAACTGTTTAAAGCAACTCAAACCATGTACGCACACATTCGCGGTGCATACATGTGTGGGCAGGTATGTCCATAGGCACAGCCGTTGACATTATGACACATCAATATTCCTCATAAATATGGGCTAGCGCAGACATGGGCAAAGTACGGCCCCCGGGCCGTATATCCGGCCCGCCGAACTTGTCCAAATATTATTATTAGATTACATTTTATCTTTCTCCTGTAATGCCCCCATTTACCCATTAGATGGCGCACTTTGACCGGCCCCTCTGTCAAACTTTAGAATCCATTGTGGCCCGCGAGTCAAATAATTTGCCCACCCCTGGGCTAGCGTCATGCCTGGCCACCTTTGTTGCTCCAGTACTGATGTTCAACTGCATTAGGTACCTATTTAAGTCGGCATCGACATAGGGAAAGCCAAGGACAGGTACAGATAACACTTAATGCCACTGATTTTATTTTTGACTTGGAGTCGAACCCGTGTTATTCTGGTTCATAGTGCGTTGTGTGAACCTCTGCACCAGAGCTTCGCACATACACACGCATTTCATATACAAAGTCAAAGATCCCCCCCGTACAGCCTTCAACAGGCCGTTGGGGCAAGTGTTGTTAGCGATCACCTATGAAGACCCGCACAGAACACAGGGGGGCGAGTGGAAAACACCACACCCAGCCGCCTTTGTCTCCCTGGTGCTGATGTTTACACACCGCACAAGGTACTCATTTAAGGCTGAGTCGACCTAGGGGAGGTGCAGGATCGGCTCATTCATACAAAAAAACAAAGATCCCCCATATAGCCTTAACAGACTTGGGGAAAGTGCTGTTAGCGAGCATCTATGAAGGCCGGAACGGTACACGAGGGGGTGGGTGGCCAGCACCACCCCCGGCCGCCTTTCTCTCCATAGTGGCGATGTTTACACACCGCACCAAGTACCCATTTGAAGCTGAGTCGACCTAGGAGAGGCCCAGAACCGGTACAGATAATCGTCACCGGTGTTGGCCGTGAGCGGGAATCAAACTCGGGTCGCCGGGTTTGCAGAGCTGCGCGCAAATCACTTCACTACCGCACACGCATAAAAACACACACTATACATAGTTATACACACAGAAGCATATTGCACAATTAAATGAATCCATGCTACCAGCGCCTGGGTTTTGTATTCACAGTTAACTGGGTGTTTAAATGGGGCTACACCTATGACGTGATTACCCACAGTCCCGCCGTTACGTTTAATGTTTGTTTTTTGACATTCTACAAAGTGCCATATGTACTCTTGCCATCTAATATGTATATAATCTCGTAATATACATACATGAAATATACATATATACAGTATATATACGAAGCAAAAAAACAACAAGCCACCACCACTACCAGAGATAGCTACATGCTCAATATTGTCCTTTGTTATGCGATCCTAAGCAGATGGTTGCGTCCAATGCCATTACGTAACATCGACGGCAATAATCGTCACCCCATGTTGACGAGGACGGTGGCGATGCTAACGGCAATTCTCTAAATGGTTTGACCTGCACGCACGCCCATAAACCCACCATATTAGTGTGTAGCCTGTACTCTGGGTCAGGGATGTGGGGAAGAGTGACTCACACGATGTATTTTTACCCCTCCCACACGTATTTTTTTTGCAGAACTGCGTGCGCCCGTGTATTATAATACCAATAAAGTATGAACTTTGTGTGTGTAGAGGCTAACGGGACTGGCAAAGACAAGACGGACGGGGTGGATGGGCGATTAGGCAGTTGTGTGTGCGTATGCCTCTTCTAGATTTTGAAATGGGGACCTAGGACTTTGAACTTGCATGGTTCTACTATCGTGAAGTTCGTGACTCGTTCCGGCTTTTTGCGCTTAGAAAACCCTCCTCCCGTGATGTGTACCGCACCATCGCGTCGCGGTTACTTCTGTATTTAATGAGCGCCGCGCTGTCAATCACACGCACACATTTACACACACACACGCACACATTTACACACACACACGCGCACATTTACACACACACACGCGCGCGAGCGCGCACAAATATGCATACGTACACGCACGCACACCCAGGCAACGGCGATTCATTATTCAATTTAATTTATTACTCGAAAGTAAGACTATATTTATTTAAAATATATTTTGATGTAGTGTCAGTTTACTTGAAATCAAGTTTGGTCGGTTTTATTCTGGGAGGTCGGGTGGTTCAGTATCATGCCTCATATCAGTAAGCGTGCGTTTGATTTCATATCTTATAATATTTGCTGGTAAAATGAATACGTAAATAAAAAGAATGAAAGGTTTCTACGCTCTGGTGAGACTTCGTGTTTTGCACTTGGGTGGTCTGTTGAGGGTCATCCCACAAAAGATCTGTCAATACCCGGGGACCCCCTTAACTATAATTATGTAAAGTAAAGAAGGAGCAACCTCTGCGAATGAGAGATGCGACATCCACGTCGTCCCGTTGGCCTGGCGAGTCTCTGGTAACTATGAAAGTTCTCACGAGCGTTCATTTCGTTCACGACATCAGCGGGGGAAAAAAAATGTGTGCCGATGGGAGTGTTTATCAACGGGTTTCGTTTATCCATAATACAGGGTTTTTTTTTGTTAGATCGCGTAAAAAAACTGTATCGTTAAACCCGCCACCACCCGACATAGCCAATTAGTAATGTTTTGTCACGTAAAGAGAACATACCAATTCGTTACTAGTACAGCACACCGGTGTGTTGGAAAGTTATAATTGCTGGTGAAACAGCCGGTTAGATTTGATGAAGCTAGTTTTAATTACTGGCGAAACGTCGTACTCAAATTGTAAATGTGGATTTTCTCTCCAATACACCGGTGTGGTGTACTAGTAACGAATTGGCATGTTCTGTTTACGTGACAAAACCTTACTAATTGGCTATGTCGGGTGGCGGCGGGTTTAACGACACACATTTATATATTCACGCGATGTAACCCAAATAAAACATGTATTATGGATGACATTGGTCGCGGAAGCCGCCTCCTCCGTGTTAAACCGCGTTTCGTTTAGCAAAAGAATACCACGAGTTGGTGAAAGGCAAGCGTAATGACGACGACGATGACGACTCACTACTCAAACCAAAGACAAAAACGCGACTCATCATCGCGAGACAGTTGACTTCATAGGCGGGGACGCAGATGGCGATCACTGAACGGCAGACTGGAAGTGGAAAATCGGCGGAATGTGCAGGACATGCACTGAGCTCACCGATTGGCTGACCTGGTAATATTGGACAGGGCGAGAGCCCACAACCCTCACGTCTGCATTGAATAACTAAACAGTGGACCAAATGGTTTACCCCAATTAACACGTGTCACGGCAACAATCTTGCCAGTTTATTACTGCTTCGGTCTGCCGTTTAGCAATGTGGTACGACGTTTTTTTTTTGCTGGTGATTACAACCGGCATCGTCAGGCAGTTTCCAGACGATACGATTCGGGAGTGTGTCAGGCGGAGAGGAGGGGACGGTTTAACGGTGCAGATCTTACGCATTCTGACCCCACGTCAAGTTACGAATCGTAACATTTGTTCACGGAAGCCTCCGCGCTAAATTCACCGCAGGCCCACCCACGTCCGTCCCCTTTTACAACTCATCAGTCCAGGATGTTCACCGATGACCTTGATGTACACACACATGGTCAAATTCCCCTTTGAGCCTGTTTTGCATTGCATTGCGCAACTCTTAATTCTTTGAGTGGCCGTTATGCGGCGAAATATTACATATCGCTTTTACCCACGCTCGAAGCGCTGAACAGTAAAAAGTATTCAATATTATACATACTAAAAAACTATTTCGTGAATAAAAAAAAAACAATGTGCATATGTATCATACATAAGAGCAGCATGGAGAACATTCAAGGGACGGAATATATCAGGTGGGAGAGTCGAAGAGGGAACTGAAGCCAGATTATGAGACCCTTTTGAACAGTTTTTAATTGAGATTTGAAGGTGGAGATTGACTCGGCGGATCTGATCTCAACGGACGGTGACGTTCCATCGCCCTTAGGGGCAACCGAGGAGAAGGCCCTGCCACCCAGTGGAGCGGAGGTTGGTGGGAGACACAACGAGTTCCGTGGGCGACGGAGGATCTTCAACGTCCCAGCCGTGCACCTCCGCGGGGTTTGTTTTGCCGCCCAAGTTGTTCTTGGTTCGAATTCCGCGGCGGCCGCGTTGGGCCGCACGTGCAACGGCGATACCCTCGGCCCCGGAGCATAAAGCAACACCACGGCAAAGGGGGGGGGGGGGTGATGGGGGGGGGCTGATTCATTCAGTCGCTCATTCATTCACTTACTGCAGGCAGACCCAGACGTCTCACCGCCCGACCGTAAATTAATAATACAGAGACAAGGAAACCCCACCCCGTGTAGCCTGCAGAGACTGTAGGGGCAAGAGCTGTTAGCGAGCACGTACGAAGGCCGGCACGGCACACGAGGGAGGTGGGTGGCCAGCACCACGCCCGGCCCGCCTTTGTCTCCCCAGTGGCGATGTTTACGCACCGCACCAGGTGCTCAATTGGGGTTGAGTCGACCTCTGGGAGGCCCAGGACCGGTTCAGATAATCGTCACTGAGTGTTGGCCGTGAGCGGGAATCGAACTCGGGTGGCGGGTTCGTAGGGCAGCGCCCTAACCACTAGAGCAATACACACAAAGACACAAGGTTCTATCTCACCACTATTTAAAAAAAATATATATATCATATGATGTAACTAACTTAAACATATAGCATCATAATAAAGACGTAAATATGAAAAGCAATGAAATGTATATCCGTCGGCCTTAACTGCCTTATGGACCAATATTTTCCCATTGAATAAATGAGTATTTTGGCTTTATTGCTAATAATAGCAGGAGATGGATAATTCGATGGTGATCAATGTTTCCTCGTTTTCGCGGCAGCAACGTGGCAGGGCCCAGAAACACCAATCGTCTTAGGGCGCGACACTCGAAGCGCCGAAAAATTAAAGTTCATATACATTTTACCCAAAATATATAATTCGGGACATATAATACCACATTCAAATCCATTAGCCTGTGAGCCTTCTCGCCTGAACGCGTCCAGCAGTGCGCTGCCCTTCCTACTGCATTGTATTGTCTTAATCTTGATTTGTAGCTTTCGTGACTGCAGGAATCCATACTCTTTGGATCTTTCGGTATAGTCACGTAGGTATAAAATAATTATTGTATTGTTACTCCACCGTTGTTTTAATATCGTCACGGATCACATTTTGTGTACCCCCGCTGCTGGATGGGGTCCTCCGCACGCCGTGCATATCCGTGAGGGGTGATTTGACCGTACTTCGCCACGCTGATCAACGCGGGTTGGTGAAGATGGGGGAGCATAGGATGTACAGTACAACCATTGGTGTTCCCCCCACTGCCCTCTGCTGGTTGACAACACCTGAATTGTTGTGTTGGTTTCATCGTGAAGACGAAGAAAAATTAATGTGTCTCTCTGTCATCACGCGGCTGGTTTAATGTTGTTGGCGTGTTGGTGTTGGTCTGGGCATCTACGAAAGACAAAGTCTCGTTTTTAACATGAGTCCTTCAATATTCAGCTCTTGTCCTACGGTGACCTCTGTGCACGGGCCGTGACCCCCACCCCACCCCCCTCCACAACCCCCCCCCCCCACAAGCCCCCCCCCACCCCCACACGAGGCCATTCATTGAGCGCTGTTAAATTCAGGAGAGGGGTTTCACGAGAGGTGGTCATGACGACCACAGCTTTCAACAAACCGCAGTCTCAAAAGGGGAAAAATAGAGACAGAGACAAAGACCCCCCGTGTAGCCTTAACAGGCCGTGGGGGCAAGTGCTGTTAGCGAGCACCTATAAAGGCCGACACGGCACACGAGAGGGGTGGGTGGCCAGCACCACACCCGGCCGCCTTTGTCTCCCCAGTGGCGATAATTACACACTGCACCAGGTACTCATTTGAGGCTGAGTCGACCTAGGGGACGCCTAGGACCTGTTCAGATAATCGTCACTGGTGTTGGTTGGGTCGATAGGTTCATAGCGCAGCGCGCTAACCGCTACACTACCGATACACACAGAAAGACGAAGAGATACAAAGACAAATATACAGACATGTATACACATACATCTACACCGATACAAAGACAGAAATACAGATATATACATAGTCATACACAGATACAAGACGCCTACATACACACATAGACATACATACACAGATATAAAATAAATACAAAGAGGCAAATCGACATATGCAAGCATACAGAGGGACACATCCATAGACATTGGTAAATATGTACAGACACACCGAAACATGTCCTCATACTAAGATATTCCCGTACAACTTTTGGGGAAAGGGCTGTTAGCGAGCAACTACGAAGGCCGGAACTGGACGACTGACACACAAACCCCTGCTATCCTCTACTCACACACTCTCCTAAACACACACACGCACACCTCCTATCCACTACACACATTCTCTCCTAAACACACACACACACGCACACTTTCACCAACCCCTCTCCCCTCCCCTACACACACACTCCAAAAACATACACACACACAAATTCCACCCCAAACAAACCCAGAGAACGTGTTCACGATTTCCCGCACCCCTCCATCTCCCCACTCTCTGTCTTGTCCGTCTCTCTCCCCCTCTCTCTCTAACTGATCCGATCAGCCTCAACGGAGGTCTCGCCTGCATGAGCTCACGAACGACGGGGACTCTCTTAACGCGCGAGGGGGTTGCGTGCAAGGGGCGCGGGAGCGACTGATGAGCCGGCAGCGGTGGCGGAGAGAGGGGAAGGCAGCGCCGAGAGGAGAGACGGAAGGGAAGAGAGGACGGCAATGGCTGAGCTGGGACGTGGAGCCATCGGTATGTGCCCGTAACGGTGGCGAGATGTTGACTACCTCGCCTGGTATGTAAGGAGGTCGTGGGTTCGATCCCGTCGCGATCGTGACGCCTGCCGTATATTTGGAACTTGCATGTTCTCGTGGTTCGCGTGGATATATTTTTTTCCTCCCCTCCGGCTCCCCCGCGGTGTTTGCCTCCACATTTCGAAACGTTGCGCTTCGAGTATTTGGCCGCTCAAAATAGCCGCGCGATGGGCCACTTCGTTTGAGCTATCATTTGTGATAGCCCAGGTCACCTTCTGAATGAAAGAGCTGCGTAGTCTATAGCCCAGTGGGCCTTACCTGGTCAAAACTTCCAAAAGGAATTTCGTTTGCTTGGGTTGTCGGATCACGCTGAGATGGGAGGCGCGTCCACATGCGGGCAGTACGGAAAGTAGGAGAGGCGCCGCTGTTTGTTTCGAGTGTTGCCCACACACGCGTGTGTGTGTGTCTGAAGGGGGAGGGTGTGGAGGGGTGGGGGGGGGGGCGGGACTGATTTCTCCCGACACTCTCGGTCTCATCCGAAACGCAAAATAAGTGGTGGAACCTCCCCCGTCAGGATCCTCCTAACAACGAGTCTTGAACCTCAGAGAGAGGTCTACTCTCTCTCTCTCTCTTGCGATACACCGCAATGGCGGGTGCAGAGGTGGCTGTTAGTGCGCTGCGGCGATGCAAGCCCGACGTTATAAGTTCGACCCTCCGGGCCGCGGCTAACGGCGAGTTATATCCGAACCACGAGCCTGCACTGAGCAGTGTGGTCAAGTGTTGCTCGCTGTTGACGCACTTATGGTCCACTGATCGACGAGGGGCACGCTGGGAGGCTGTCATCCAGCAGTAGATTGAGAGAAAAAAAAGGGGCTTTGGTTTCTTGTCGGACTGTACCACATGTACACATTTGTTGAAGCGCTCACGAGTTACGGACTCACTCAGGGACAGATAGTATTCAGACCTGTCTTAGTGGCATGAACGGGGGGACACTTTGAATTGATGTACAACTTCCAATGTCATATTTTGTGCGCATCGATAATAATTAAAGTAAAATCACAACTCGTTCCAAGGTCATCCGTGGGGAGTTGTGATCGATCGCCATCAAATAACAGTTATCATATACAGGTGCGTCGTTTCTGTCTGGCTTTGGTTGACGATGAAGATGCATCTTCTTTGGTTCTTTCGGTAAAGTCACGTAGAATGATAATAAAATAATAAATTGATAAAATAAAATAACACAATAATATTCTCACGACGTTTCGGCCACAACACAAGCCGTCTTCATCAGGTGAAGGGGGGCGAGACTGTCTGGTAGGACAGCGCTGGAGTGAAAGAGCCACGTTCAGATACGGCCTTTAAGCTGTGTGAGTGGAAACAAAGCGCCTTAGAGTCGCGGCATCTCTTCAGAAAGGTGAGAGACTCGATTAGTTGAGCCTTCTTATCCCGAAGTCTGTTGAATGATCTTAAGGATGTGTGGAATCCCTCCCCGTAGAGGCGGTTAAATTTCGATTTAAAGCTTTCGTGACTGCAATGATTCATCTTCTTTGGTTCTTTCGGTAAAGTCACGTAGAATGATAATAAAATAATAAATTGAGAATATGATTGTGTTATTTTATTTTATCAATTTATTATTTTATTATCATTCTACGTGACTTTACCGAAAGAACCAAAGAAGATGAATCATTGCAGTCACGAAAGCTTTAAATCGAAAGATGAAGATGCAATTCAAAATTAGAATATTTATACTGGAGGAATCCGATGAGCTACAGAGCTCTTTGTCACAGACGTCCAGTTGTTTCGGTGGAAAGTGAAACAATCATCCAGGCGCTCAAAAAAACCGAAGCCCTTGTAGTAAAAATTAGAAAATATATATTTTTTAAAACCTATGCTACATGGAGTAACTAGATTTCATCAAGAGAGTGGCACTTTACAAATTAAAACAGCAGTTCCGTGAAGAGCATATGCAACTCGCCAAGGCTAGCCGCAGCGAAATATATTTGAAAAAAAAAATGTTGTCATGGAAAATGATTTAAATGAATAAAGGCATATATATACATGTAGAAAGTATTAGCAACGTTAAGATGCGTCGATGACACAGTCATCGTGCTCCTTTCCCCGCCCACCCTTGGCAAACGATTTATTTATTTACGTGAAGCACGGCACTCCAAGTACTTCGTAGAAAGGCGTCTTACAAATGTAAATTTGAATGATTCATTATAACAAGTGATGAAAATTACCTTGAGGATGTGGTTGGAAGAACACAATTACGGTTGCAATGCGCATGGGCACGAGATAGATGCCGTACGAGCACAACACTAAGGGAAGCAAACAAAGCGTAAATAGTGCGCGCAGATGGAGACTCATGTGATGACACGCAGGCGAACAGGAGGAGCAGGATCTGGCGTTTTGGAAACCCGAAGATAGATCATGGAAAAGCAGCGCACTGATGTTGCCTGGAGAGGAACGTTATCGGAATATTTATCCTGGAGGAATCCGATGAGCTATAAAGCTCTTTTCCACAGATATCCAGTGCATGTTACCAGCTAGGACACGTGGATCAGACACGTGGATGTATTTATCCTGTAGGAATCCGATGAGCTATGAAGCTCTTTTTTTCACAGATGTCCAGTGGATGTTAATAGTTAGGACACGTGGATCTGAAACGCAGACAATGACGGAGAAAATGGAGCAAAACGCACGGTTGGCTACGTACGGTGTTAAAGAAGTTCAACATACACAAATATGGGCTTTAGAGATGTGCATGCTGGGAATTTCACTCAGAGACGAAGAACAGAACAGATGGAAGAACAAAAGCAAGCAACCTACTTACTGTACTGCAACATATAGGCCGCGGAGATGGGTGTCGTAGCGGTGTGACGATGTATGGATTAATGTCCATTAACACCCATTAATTAAACCACAATACACGCATCAAGTCGCCATGTATCATGTTCTTTTTTCAATTACAATGCGCTGAATTGCAACGTACCTCCTTGCGGCCGCTAGAGGCCGCTATATTCACGGCAATGTGCAACAACGTAGTTCCAACCTATACGTGATCCACCAACCCAATCTATGAGCTGAAATTGGCTGGACTGCAGGCGTGATGCACCATCACTAACTACCACCGCCGCCATCACCCACCGCCACCACCATCACCCACCGCCACCATCACCCACCACCCACCACCACGACCATCAATAACAACACCACACCCGACGGTGTTGACATAAGAGCGTCACTTATGCGATGCAATTGAATGAGATCTCGGCAGCCTGGGTGAGCCTGGGACCACAGGGCATAGAGGGGTGGGGGGGGATCTCACGTTTTGAAGAGCACTCGAGTCTGGGTGCGGTATAAATCAGGCGAGAGTGCTCGTATTAGGTGCAGTCCAGTCCAGCCGACCGAACAAAGGAAATTTACAAGCCGTCAAGCCAGTATGTAACGCGAGCCTCTGCTCGTTTTGCTCATTTTCCGCATGTACAAATAGACGCACGTGCGCTGGTATGCAGTGGAGTAGTATCACGGGTTTTTTTGTCTTAACAAAAAATGTTCAATTATAACGTATGTTATTAACAATCTTGCCCGAAAGCCGAACAGATGTGGGCGTCGATGTTGGTGAGCCGTGTGGTATCAGAGTTGATTGGTTTTGGGATTTTGTGGTTTTCGGGAAATCATCGTGAGTGATCACGGACAGATGGAGAGACATGGACGTGATTAATTTCCTGGTTCGCAGCAATATGTATCCTCGTGGCTTTGTTGATAGCGTACATTATAAATGTTGGGATCTTGGCAATGCAATAAAGGCAAGGCCCAATCGTGCTGATGAGACTCGAGAGAAGTCGAAGCCAGCCCTGGGATTGTGGCAAAAAAGTATTCTGCTGAGCACATTGATAATGGAATTAAATGTTGCATTTTATATATATGTTTACTTATTACAGAATATAAGTATATCTTTGTTAAATCCATAGTATGCATGGTGGGGTTTCTCCAGGTACTCCAGTTTAATCTCACATGAAGACAAATACTCATAAATAGCATTGGTCAAATGTCCCCAATGTGGTAGGACCCTACAGGAAAAAACGTTATTTTGATTCAGCAAGGCTTTTCTATATACACAAAGGACATTATTGTTAGGAAGGCTCAGTGCACTCAATGTGAAATGAGTGGCACGTAAACACTTTGATGTGATTTCACAAAAACGCAATGATACTGTAATAGAGGGCTACTTAAATGAAGCGTAGCATATAATTACCATTGCCGGGTTATTGTTTATCTGGCTGAATGCCGGGCTCGCAAATCCGGCATTGACCCAGCCCATTGCCTTTCAAAAGTGAACAGCAAATTCCCAATGAGTTAAGTGTTGGTGTGTGTCAGGAGGCTGCATCCAGCAGTAAGTAGCTCATGGCTGATGATGACGACGATAAGGGTGAAGTTTAATGGACGTTTACGCCGGACCGCGAGAAATTGGAATGGATTGGGGAAGCCATTGTCCAGCAGAAGACGATTTCCGTTGTGGTATTCATATTGCCGAGTCAAAGGCTCGCACGACAGCAGGGCCGCGTTTTTCTCTAAATGTGCTCCTTGGGGTTGTGAGTGACAGATCCAGCGAGGGACGGGGTGGTGCTGGCGGAGAGGACGGTACCCCGGCCACTTCCACCCGGCAGCCGCCACAGGTGACCACAGCTTTCTGATTGCTCCCAACGCAGCCGAAGGCCGACCCTTGCTTGGCGAGGTCGTACAAAATGTCCCCACCACGGTGGCGAGATATTAACAACCTCCCCTGGTATACAGGAGGTTGTGGGTTCAATCCTGGCCCTGACGCCTGGATACGTGGAGAGCATGCTCTCCCCGTGGTCACGTGGATTGTTCTCTGGGTCCTCCAGGTTTTCCCTCCGCATTCAGAATCAAAATGCGTTGAGTATTTGGCAGTTATACATTTTCACGCGATAACGCACTTTGTTGAGCTATCATTTGTGGCGAGGTCGTTTCCGAAAATAACGCTGTAGCTCAGTGGGCCTTACCTGGTAAAATAAAAAATAATTTAGTTTAGTTTTCCATAGCAGAGATGCCAAATTATAACTGTGTTGAGGTTTTGTTGTTTTTTGTGCCCATGTCAACTGGGCCACCTTGCTAACTGGACCACCGTGACCCACGGCCACCTGCAAGGGAGTTCAGCTTCGGGGCCCTCTCGCTGGGCGAGCCCCTGCCACCCATCGCCTCCGCCTCCCCGGGATTGAGCCGCACAGCCCCGGCCAGCCCGGCCACCTCCACGCGCCTCCCGGCCAACCGGCCCAAGTCGGCAGTGGCCCGCAGACCGCCCAGCGGCGCCATCACCACCGTCATCACCGTGTCGCCCAGGAACCCGCCACCGCCCATGGTGATGGGGTGAGAGGAGGATCGTCGTCGTCCGCCCCCCCCCCCCCCCTCGTGAGGGTTGTAGGGTTATCAACCCTATATTGAGCAGGGGATCACTGAACATGACCAGTGTTAAGCCTATAGGTTCTCCATTCGCACATGGTTACTACGTTCAGTGCCGGACTAAGCTAGTGCGGGGCCTGTAGCAAATATTATAAAGGGGCCCTAAACAAAAAAAAAAACACGTAAATATTCAAATACAACATTTTTACTTGCATAGTAAAGTAATTGTATTATTTCATTTACTATACAGGCAGACAATACGACAAATCGCTAACCTTAAACACCCAGTCGTTTATAAAAGTTGCAGGCAGTATAGTACTATAGTAATAGAGCAAGTGCAGAATCACTGGACCTGAATTGATAGCTTGAGAGCATTTCGCGCGGGGCCCTTGAAAGTGCGGGGGGCCCGTAGCATTTGTAGCTACTTTTGCGACTAGGATAATCCGGCACTGACTACGTTAAGCCTATGGGTCCAGTGTTAAAGTCCATGGGCCCAATGTTCGTCCGGAGTCCTCAAGTAAATTTCCAACCATCACTGCATCAATGCTCTTGCACACACACACACAAAACTATGAAATAACACTGCTAAAGTGAATTATTATTGTGTTATACTGCTTTGAACCCAAATTGTTAAAGCAAGTGAAATGCATATTGTATGCTGATTTTTTAAAAAAAAAAATAATCAAAGCTATCATTGATAGTATAATTGATAGTCTGTGGTCGTTGATGGATCAGTGGTAATTGGTCTCTATTATTGCCTGGCTATGATGAGGGTCACGGTGTTCAAGCCAAAAGCCCCAGGCCGGTTCACCTTGCTGTGCTAAGGTCCCCGCTACGGCGTGCAATTACGGCACTTTACACACCAAGGACATCGCGCGAACACCACTTGTGAGCAAATTACCAAAGGTGCACACGCACACAAACACACGGCTGAACAAGCTGACATGACCTTGGACCAGGGACTGTTTCGGGCGATCGGCGGCAGTGAAATTTGGCAACGCGCTTGCGCACCTCCGACTGGCACGGTCGGCTACGCACGTTGAGAAATAAGTTCAACAAAGCGATGCTGAACGACGATCAAGCAGTTATGTCTCGATGATCTGTGAGCGGATTTAAACGGTGTTGCGAATTAAACGCGCTCGAGACAGGGCAAAATAAAGATACTTGACACGCGCGCCGGTTTATGATTAGCTGCTTCTCGCTCGTAGAGTCGTCGGTGACCGTCTGCAAAGATTTACAAGTAAATGGATTTCTTAAATAAGCAATATAATGGGCACATTCGACATCATCACGCCCCATTTCTACGTGAACATATACAGGGTGGGCCAAAAGTCAGGACACGTAAGGTTATATTTATTTGAGCTAATCACACAGGGGTGATGCCATTCATTTAACCAAATGTTCAAACCGACTTTCCCATAACATAAATGCATGCATGAATTATCTTTTGAAATTAAATTTGGATTATATATATTTTTTAAATATTACAAGTGTAAGCTTTGAACATTCATCAATTGTATTTAGTCTCAACTCATTAATTCGGGATTCTTGGTCGAGTTTTGTAAATTGAGGTCCCCCCCACCCCGCCACAGGAAGGAGAACAGCAATATATATGAATGATAACAGATACAAATATTAACTTAAAGAATAAACGATAAAAAATGTTTCATGCGAGTGTTAGATAAATGAAATAGCCCTGTCTCCTGACTTTCGGGCTACCCTGTATTATGTTTTCATAGCCTAATTAACGTACGTTTTCATGCAACAAATAAGTTGTTTGTTTGGCAGGTATTAATGAAAGCATAGTTTATGTTTTAGTTCTGGAATTGTATTAAATTTTAGTGCGACGTCTCATTGACCAATATGGAGTTATTGTTCCACTTATTGTTAAACAGTTTTAGGCATGGATACTTTTGATAACATTTCAAGTAGATGTCTCCTAGCAATTGTAAGTAGGCACTTAAGTTTTATTAATACACGAGCGTTCAACAATATAGCAATGTGTGTAAACAATATATGTAAACACAGGGTTATACTTTGCACGCAACACATTTAAAACAACCTCCGTATCACGGTCGCTACGCTTCAACGGCAATCCATTCCCATTTTCAACATCAGTTTGAACTTTCAGTTGAAATTTGTATTCTAGTTCTGCCAAAAAATCACGTCTCATTCCTAGTTGCCTGCCATTCACAAAATGCTTTCAATTGTGGTCCCACTTGTTCCCACTTGACGATAATAACGCTGTGCGGGACCCTGCTGAGAGAAGTTTGAGACTCGACGACACGTTTCTTGAATAGCCCTTCCGTGCGTCACGTCCACCGCGGTGGACCGTTATGCAATTATACGAAGCGATATCAACGCATTCGACTCCTGGTTGATTTCCACACGAAGGACCTCGTTAAACAAAAAGACTGGTGAAACAAAAGTATTGGTTAAACAACAGGAGCGGTGTTGCTCATACGTAACAGGGATACATCAATGACGTTGTCACCTTTTTATATTCTTAGCTCTTTCGGTAAAGTCACGTTGAAGGGAAACAATAAAATAATAAAAAATATATAAAACAATAAAAATTCTCACGACGTTTCGACCATAACACAAACGGTCACCGCACCGTTTTACAACACGTGGCAGCACGGCCGCCAGCGAGACCAATAACATCCGCGGGACTGCCGTTACAGCCGCAGTTACACGCAGTTCCCGGACGGCACGGGCACCCCGCAGGCGTGGCGGGAGGTGCGGGCGGTGCACAACTTCCCCAGGGACGCGCCCGCGCCCATCGAGTCCCAGCCCAAGCGATCGGGCAACGGCGGCGGCGGCGGCGGCGCCAACGCCAACATCGTGGTCGCCGCCAGCCGGGTGCAGGTGGTGCGCGAGGGCCGGCGGGGCCAAGACGTGGGCATCGCCATTCCCGTGTGGCCCAAGCCCGGAGGCAGGGTATCGGCGATCCGGCCGGACCCCCGCGGCAACACCCAGCCTCAGCGCCAGCACGGCGCCGCCGCGGAACGGCCGCCGCTCAGCCCGCTCGCCTCCTGCTGCGCCCGCATCTGGCACTACGACGACGGGCACCGCTGGTATTCGTTCCGCGGCAAGGGCGTGGGCTGGCTGTGCGTGCTGCTGCCGGCGTTGCTGGTGGCCGGCCCCGTGGTGCAGGCGCTCAAGCTGATGCAGCTCAACGGGCGCTGCGAGCGGTGCTGGGCGCGGTGCTGGGCGCGGGACCCGCTCTACGACTGGTTCAGCTGGCGCGACAAGGGCCCCGGTTGGCGTGCCATGCTGGCGCCGCTGTACGCCCTGCTGTGCCCGCTCGTAGTCGTCTTCGTCATCTTCACCGTGCTGTCGCTGGCGTTCTGCGATTCGGGGACGGCGGGTGCCGACGTGGAGGCGGGCGGAGGTGTTGGTGGCGACGGCGGCGTGGGAGGGAGCACGATGCCCAACGGTCGACCGGATGCATCCAAGCCTCACGGCAAACAAGCAGCAGCGCGCGAGCCAGCCTGGTGACCGCTGGCGCTCGCAACGCTCACGACAATAGCGGCGTGAAAAGCAGACACGTCTGCGGAAGCTCACACCGAAGAAAAACTGCAAACGAATGTAAAGCGATGAGTTGCGTCGACTGTTTTCTGAAGATGCAATGCTGCAAGGTTTTATGCGAAAGTGCTCGATCATAACCTCTCCCTGAAAATGAGTCAACACCGAGTTGAGAATTTTTTTTTAAGGGAAATAAATTATGCAGAGAGGGGGATGGTATGTATTGAAAACATGAAAAGGCAAAATACTCTTTAAAACATAATGCAATAGAGACAATGACAAATACGTAGAGGTTGTTACACTGACAAACTTCACGTGAAGTTGTTTTATGTGAATTTTTAAAAAGAAACCAATCAAAGCAATTGTATGCACGTATGCGTGTTGCTGTAGTATCAGGGAGTGGCAGTGTAGCGGTTAGCGCGCTGCGCTACGAACCCGGCAATCCGGGTTCGATTTCCACTCACGGTCAACACCCAATGATAATTATCTCAAACGGTCCTGTGCCTCCCCTAGGTCGACTCAGCCTCCAATGAGTACCTGGTGCGGTGTGTAAACATCACCACTAGGGAGACAAAGGCAGCCCGGGCGTGGTGCTGGCCACCCACCCCCTCGTGTGCCATGCCGGGCTTCATAAATGCTCGCTAACAGAAATTGCCCCAACAGTCTGTTACGGCAACACGGGGGGGATCTTTTGTCTTTTGCTGTAGTTCACGCAACCCAGGTCTACACCGCACTGTTTGCTGTGCCGCTAGCAGTCATACAGTTGTTTGGAAACAATGCGCAGTAATGGAAAAGTGTGCGGGGAAACGACACGAATTGCCAGCACGGCACGTTGATGCGAAATGAGGAACAATGTGAAGGTGCCCACATGGCACGTTGATGCGAAATGAGGAGCAATGTGAAGGTGCCCACTGAAGTGTCCAATTGCCTCAATGTCAATTGGACAATGGCCCCAAAAGGCAATTTCCTGAAGCGCCTGTGATGTCATGAGGCTAATTAAAGTGCGCATTTAGCGAAGGGAAATAAAGCTTCGACAGAAAGGTCACCCTTCTACATTTTCAAAGCGCATGCTGTTTAGCACTCGAACGAGGTCTGTTTGGCACGACATCCGTACCCGCACATTTGGCTTCATTCTCTTTTAAGCACTTGAGTCCACAATTACACTTGGGTGCATCCCAACCAGGGCAACCGTGGTCTAAGACAGCTTCTCCGGCTCATGAATACTAAACAAGACTGCGATTGCCAGTTCATCTATTGGAGGCACATGGAGAGGCATTTTGACTACATAAGAAAACTATATTTGCAAAACTCTGTATTTTTTTATATGTAAAAAAAACCTAAATTCACCTGGCTACTTCTCCAGACCAGGTTTGAAAAAAAAAGAGCTCACTGCCTTGGGTGGCTAGACTACTTGTTGTAAGACATGTTAGAAATATTCTCAAGGTAGTTCATTTGGCTAGGTCTCCTAAACTGCCAGTAGTCTCTCGTGCCCTCTCAACCCACGACACATTATGTTTTACCACATCCACCAATCTATTCCCACTCAATTGCAAGTCATGTCTACGGTGCACTATTTTAAGATTGGTAAAACTATGAACGGAAATATGGCCCCAAGTGAGCCATGGGGAAATTCAGCAACAGTGTACTTCGACGAAATCACGTTCGCATAAAGAGAAATTTGGAGCCATCTGGGCAGCGGCCATTTCACCTTCTACATTTGAGAATGCTGATTAGGGAAACGTTGTTTATAGAAGGGCAACGCTGGGATTCTAAACCAGATGTAAATTTCCTGACTCCATGCTCATACCCTACAGGGACTACAGAGACTATTTCTAATGTATTCTCAGGATGCATAAATTAAGACTCCAACTCTGCGGAGAACAAATTTTGCATTATACCCTCAACTTGCAATGTGTAAATGAATTAGTGCACAATTTATGTAGCAATGCAAGCAACTCCATACTGACACATCTTTGGTAATGTTTGCATGTGCCAAGAAGCTGAGACTTGTAACATGTTACCTTTGGGACAAATGCAAAAGACAATGCATGACTTGCCATCATCTCTCATTTATTAATGGTTACGGTACAATATCACCTTTAACAAGGGAACTGAGTATACGTTAAAATGGAAACTACAATTTGAACTTATCTCTGCACTTTTTGGTATCGTAGATAATCAACTGAACTAAGCCCCCACCTAGTGTTTTTATCTTCAAAACACAACAGCAACTGTTTGCAAGCCGAATGAAAATATGGTCCCATACGATAGCAAAGTCAAAGTTCAAATATGGTATAGTTTTAGCGACGGCACACAATCACAGGTTTTTAATTTAAAAATGAGCGTTTTTTTTTATTTAACGGTTCAAAAAATATAAAGAACTCACCTTAATAAACACAAGTTTACGAGAACAAAAACAACGGTAGCACATCGAAAGCAACAAAACGGCTACAAATGTAAAGTGCTTTAAATAAAATGTAACAAGCGGAACCTTACTGTGGCACACCCCAATATCACTCGCATGATTTTCTCAGTTTTCAGTATTAACGCGGTCTTGTGTTTTTTTTTAAGAAATTGAAATAAATATCAACCATATATACAAACAACTCTGTAAGGAATCACGTGTGAAATTGCGTGTTTTTTTTGTTTTTTAAAAATAAAATAAAAAATACTTCTGAACAACTTCTCTTTGCAAGGTCCCGTGTACATGCACTCGTGTATTTACGCGGCGTTACACACACACAAAAACCCAACCCTGTCAGAAGTGGCAGCGAGGCCTGAACAGTACTGTCGCATACAAGTTCTGAACGCACAGTGATTGGTGATGATACTTTGCCCTGTCATTTGCACCAAGGTCAACAGAGTTAATCGTTCTGCTTGAGGTGAATAGCGCGAGGCGCAGTTGAAGCTCTTCGTGCTGTTATTTCTTATTGAAAATAACATGCATTTCACTTGCTCTGCCCGTCACACTTAATAGCTGCCATTCCCACAGCGGTCGCCTGGATTCCTGTTAAACTTATAGGTTATTTGCTGATGAGACATACATCCCCGAGACCGTATCTATAGCACTGAGTTTATGAATATCCCCCGAATACAGACTCCCCGAACAAACTGCACTCAAACGCAGCGACAGCCGCAGCTTCGTCACGGTCAACTTAAGCTGCGTGTTTGCACCGATAAAAACACAACGTCTAGTAGGGTCAGGCTTACGTAACATCACTCTACCCCCTAGCCCATTTTCCCGGCGCCGCCTTGCGGCCCTAAGCAGGCCTCTCGTGCACGCACCAGCGAGCGGCCCCTCTCCATCATGGGCGTTGGCAACGCTGGCGGCACTGGCGGCGCTGACGGCGCTGGGGTCAGAGCTCGGTGCGCGAGTCGGCGTTCTGGAACATGAGGATGGAGTTGTAGATCTTGAGGGCAGGCCCCAACTTGATGGCCATTATCTTCACCAGGTCGCACTGAGTTAGCAGCAGGAAGGCGGGCCCGTCAATCTGCTGCTGGCACGGGGGGGGGGGGGGAAACAGGAGTCACTCAAGATAACCAATGCATAAGGGGCTACACCGTTTTCACACACGCAGTGCTGGTTTTGCTAAGTCATCATCGGCCATGATCAGTTCAATGCCACATGAAGAAAACAACCACCATTCGCCACTAAGTGGTGGTGACGTCACCACGGCGCTTATGCCAGGCTATGTGCACGTTGAGGCCACGTGAAGTGTCGAACGCCCCCTGTCCGGCAAAACAACCCCCTACCTCCTCATTGGTGCCGGACAGTAACGCTGTGGTGAGCAGTGTAGTGGGGGGAGGGCCAATTTCGATTGGCCCATCCCCCTCATGGCGTTCGTAGCCACCACAATGGCTAAATGGGGGCTCTGGACGGGTGCGAGGGGTTGATAACCCCTCCACCTTCAAATAAATTACGATACCGTGGAAAAAAAACATGAAGATACACACATGAAGACATACAGTTGGCTACGTACGGTGCTAAAGAAGTTCCACATACATATGTATCTCACGTTAGAATATCTGCATCTGCTCAGAAAATCCAGTATGGTACGCTTGACAACGTTTAAGACAGCTGTGATAATTCCTTACAATTTACCAAGAGCTCGCTGCTGCAATGATCTACATACAAACATTTTGGAAATAAGAGCGTAAAAAAAATTCAACGTTAATACTTACTGACCCTTGTTCAACACAAAATTAAATAGTACAAATTATATAATGCAAAGCCTATAGCACCTAGCAGTTCACAAGCATTATTTCAAGCAAGCCTAACTGTTGATAAAGACACTTATCAATGGTCTAGAGTTTGATTGTACTGAATCAATGCTGATGAATTATGCACTCTCAAAGGGCTGTGTGGCCACAATGGGTTGTGTAAAAAAATGCTTAGCTTTTGTGTGTGGAGAGATACAAGGACACATATTGTATGCTTATATATTGTTATTCACATTCTCCACGACGACGCTGTTCATTATTGAGTCTAAACATATACGAGGGCTATCAGGTTTTTCCAGGACACCCCTCAACTCTCAGATTCACAGCTACCAGTAGAACCCCGTGTTGTTCCAATTGAGCTCATGGTAAAACAAAAAAAATCCATCAGGGCAAGGCATTTCCGCAAGCACACAGAACACTCCACACATCTGCACGGTTGAGTATTGTACAATTTGCATGCAGTATTGTGCAATTTACATGCAGTATTGTGTAATTTGCATGCAGTGCCAATTGTTCATACTTAGCCAACTACTAAATCTGAACATAGAAAAAGCACAGTGGATGTCAAGAGTGTGTGTGGACTCACTTCATTCTGAAAGAACTTGGCTTGCTCATCACAACCCGGTAGGGCACTGATGAATTTGGCCACCTGCCGGAAGAGAACGCGGTTTTAAAAACGCTTCCGTCTTCCCTAATGCAATGCCGCGTGGATCTACAATGAGCAGCAGCTGCTGGGGGCCACCCCACAGGTTTCAACCGAGAGCCGTCTCTCATCACCCCCCCCTGCTGTTTCTTCTCTCTCGTTGATCGTCAACCACGTGAAGTCAGCCCCCTGGTGCCTTGTTTAAGCAGATAAAAAATGCAACCTTAATTTTGTTTATTTTCTTAGCAGGAAGGAATTTTGCATTGCTTAAGAATGTACATGTGGCGGTGCTGTATCGAAAGACAATTTTTTTGTATTATTATAAAGTAAGCTGCCAGCTCATTGGCCATAGTTATCACAATGGCAACAAAACACAAGAACTGTTCTCAAAAAGTAAATTACAAACACAATGAAAGCAGCTTTTCAAAGTATACAGAAAATGTCATATGAGTGTCATGTTTCACACCTGCTAGGCATCTAAGTTGCACATGTGTAATGCATCTAGATGCTTCCTGGATGCAATGGTGTTCCATTGAATGTAACAAACATGGGGAAAGTGGATTTTTTTCCAAAAGGGACTGATCTTTTTCATCGGGCTTGTACCTTTTGCATTGCCTGTGGGTTAGTGACCCCACTTATTTTTTTG